AAAGTGTAACTCCCCATACCAGCAGTTACCGTGGAGACCTATATCAGTCCATGACGGTGACACCTTGGAGGGCAAGAAAAAGCCACAGCTGAGGACACCTGGCTCACGAATTCTCAAGAATACAGCTGCAGGCTCTTGGCCTACTGCAATAACTGCGAAACAGAGGTAAGGCAGTTCTCTTAACTGGCAAAATTTACTGCTTGAACAAGTCTTTAATCTAATTGCCAAAGGTCCTCCCAGTTTCTCTTGCTTAACTCAGCTATCCTTTTCCTTTGTTTGAAAACCCAATAAATACGGGTGATTACAGAGAAGTCTTTCTCTTCGTTGCTAGAGAGTTCTGACTTTCCTGGACCCCCAAACTTCATATTGCTTGTCTCATTTATTTAATCCCTTGCTGTCCACTCATCCTGGCAGATCAGGGAGCCTGATCGGCCTGTGATATAATCCTTTTCTCAACTGTGGCAAATTAAACACATCACAGGTATGCCTTGCAATCCACAAGGACAGGCAATTGTTGAATGCACACACCTGTCCTAAAAAATGCAGTTACAAAAACAGAAAGCATCATATCTCCAGATATGATGGAAACCGCTAGGAAGAAGCTCTGAGCAGGATTTAAAAATCAATCAATTGGCTTTCTCTGTTTACTTATAAGTCTGTCGCAGGCCTAGGTGACTTGCTTGGGGAGGGGCAGTGGGCACGCAGCAAGTGAACTTCTCCATACCACTGGTCACAGTTGAAGTCTGTATTGGTCTGTGATGCTGTAAAGCCTCACAGGGCAAGACAAGACACGTCCATCACCATGCACTAAACTAAAATCAAAATGGATCAAACACCTAAATATTTAAACAGAAACACCAAACTTACTAGAAGACAAAGTAGGTAGAAATCTTAAAAACAGGTGTAGGCAGAGATTTCATGAACAAAAACCAAACTGCATGGGAAATACTTCAAAGAATCAACAACTAGGATCTCATTTTATTAAAAAGTTTTTGCACATCAAAATAAATCACCAGCAGAGTAAAAAGAA